TTAATAGCATCATTGTTCAAACACCAGGTGAGAACAAACTGTACAAGCTATTATTTTTCCCTAACATCCATTAAAAAAAAATTATATGTGTATTTTGATTTCTGAGAGGAAGAGAGACTAGTGGGAGAGAGATAGAAGAATCAATAATGAGATGGAATCATTGATGGGCTTCCTTCTGCAAGCCCTCTCCTGGGGATCCAGCCTGCAACCTAGGCTTATGCCCTGACTGGAAATCAAATTCTGACTTCCTGGTTCATAGGTCAAGGCTCAACCGCTGAGCAATGCAGGCCATGCTTTAACATTCTCTTTAAACACCTCTCTGTAATTCTGTATATATCAAAATGTGTATTTTTTTTCCCTATAAAAGGAGTTGCAGGACTAATTTACCTGTATTTTTAGTTCATATTATTACATATTCAATGTTAGTCTTACATTTTGTTTTTATTTTTTGACTGAATTTATTTGGGTATGTTGATTAATAAATGTAGGTTTCTGGTACACAATTCTCTAATACATTGTATGTACTAGTATATTGTACTGTGTGTTCACCACTGAAAGTCAAGTCTTCTTCCATCACTATCCCTCCCTTTACTTTCTTCTACCTCCCCCACCACTTTACTCTGGCAATCACTATAATATTGTCTGTGCCCATGAATCTTCTTCTTTTTTTCTTTTCTGTGGTTAATCCTTTCATCCTTCTCATTCACCCTTCTTCCCTCTGACAGCTATCAATCTGTTATCTGTATCCATGAGTCTTTCTCCACTTTGTTAGTTTAATTTGTTCATTAGAGTTCATATATAAGTGAAATCACATGGTACTTGTTTTTCTCTGACTGGCTTTATTTCCTGCAGAATAATCTTCAGGTAACATCCATGCTGTCCCAAAAGTTAGGGTTTACTTGTTTTACAACCTTACTGGTATTCCATTATGTAAATGTAACACAGGTTTTATTATTGTTTTATAAAGAGAATGAGAGAGAGAGAGAGAGAGAGAGAGAGAGAGAGAGAGAGAGAGAGAGAGAGAGAGAGATCAAAGTGAGAATGACCCATGAATTCTACATTCTTCCTATTGGGGTTCAGCTAGAAACCTATGCAAGTGCCCTGACTGGGAATTGATTGAACCTGAATCCAATTAGTGGCCAGGACAATGCTTAACTGAGTCACACCCAACAGGGCTGCATCACCCCTTTCTTATCCACTCAACTGCTGATGGGCACTTGGGCTGGGCTTCTTCCAAATCTTCACTATTGTAAATAACTATAGTGAACATATGGGTGCATATATTCTTTCCAATTAGTGTAGTAGGCCTCTTCAGTTTTATTCCCAGAAGTTTAATGGCTGTGTCATAAGGCATTTTCATTTTTAATTTTTTGAAGTAACTGCATAAGCAAGTTTTCTACGGTACTATCTTATTTACTACCTTATATATTCTGGATTATAAAATTTTTCACAACCAGTTAGATATCTAAATTACTTTAAGAATCTTACCCATCTCTCATTTTTATTTTTCCCCCCTGTAACCTGTGCATCTATCTCTCATTTTTATCTCTTCCCCCCTTCCTGCCCCCCCAGTAACTAGGCAGTAGTTTCAGCTGGGTGATTATGTCCCCTTACTAATGGTATTTATTGAGGTCCGGAAACATTTTAGTTGTCACCACTGGAAGTCAGTAGTGTACATATTAAGGGGGTGAATTTTAGAATATGTACATTTTTCTCAGTTAGTCTGGAAAAATATTATGGGACCCCAAAACATTTTTGTTTATGGGTTTATTATATATATATAACATATATATAATATATATATATATATATATATATATATATATATATATATTGATGTTAAGGGTGAAAAGAAAAAAAATAATATTTTATTCTTTGAGGAGAAGGGCCAGGGAGAGAGGAAACGCCAGATCCTTCTTGGATGTTTAACACCAGATCCATGGAGGCCACAGGAACCACAAGGAAGAGTCTCCCTGGCTCCCTCTGCTTGGAAACCCCAAGAGATGGAGGGGAGCAGGAGGGCGCAGGGGAGGGTTTTTCTGGGGACAAAAATCAAGTTTCCTTATCCCGCCATGGACCTGGACCCAGCGTGGCTCCCCACACACTCCCTCCAAGACAGAGACAGATAGGTAGATGCTGTGCTGTGAGGACAGTTACAACAAAAACAGAGAACAGAACAATGTTTTGTGACAATAATGCTTTGCGGAGAAGGAGCCTGGGGGTGGGGGTGGGGTCTCATTCATTCATTGGGTGCCTTTCTAGTCACTAAGAGCAGCAGGTCCAGAGATACCTAGCATCCAACAAGGAGAAAACTGTGTCTGGAAGGCACAGGCATCCCATTTTGTTTTTTGTCCCGTTCTCCCCCCCCCCCCCCCAGCAAAACAAAATGAAACAAAAACAAAACAGACAAACAAAACAGCTCCATCTTCAACAAGGGAGTCCTGGGTATAAGTCAGAAAGGTCACGTGATGGGAAAATAGCTCCTGATGCAACAGACTTGAAAAACGGGGTTGGTCCCCTACCCCCCCCCCCAAAAAAAAAAAAAAAAAAAACCTACAGCAAAACAACAACAACAAAAAAAACCCCACAATTTCTGGAAAAATAAATTAGAGAATGAAAAAGGTCTTGGCCCAGCGATGTGACAGGGGGACAGGGAGAGGGGGGAGGGGAAAGGTGATGAGGTAGGGGGGGCTGGGGCACAGGGATGTCAGTCTGTCCTGGCCAAGCCCTTGGTTCAGCTGCCCTTCCCGCACCCTGGCTCTTTCTTCTGCAGCCACATCTGGGCCAGCTGCTGCGCGGACCCGTAGGTGGACGCCTTGGATGCTAGGCACATCTTGTCCTGCCTGGGGCCCAGGCCTGGTCACAGAAGTCCGGGTGGTGCACGCGCGCGCGCGCGCGCGTACACACATAACACATACACACACACACACACACACACACACACACACACACACACACACACACCTTCTGGCTGAGGAAGGCTGCAGGCCGGCCTCACCGCCTGTGGAAGAGGTGCCTGTCCTCCAGCCCCAGCCCTGGATGGACACGGTGAAGCCGCCCCCCGCACCAGGCCCCCTTGTAGATGGAGCCACCCCGGAGCCACAGTGCCGCCAGAGCCCTGCCTTGTGCTTGAGGGCGAAGGGGCTGTCCCAGGAGGCCTTGCAGCTGCCTCCGTACAGGACCTGCGGGTCCTACTGGCTGGAGAGGATGGGGAAGCAGCCCTGCGGGATCCGCAGGGCTTTGGCAAGGCAGCGGCGCTGCAGGGAGTGGGCGGTGAGCACGCGGTCCAGTCGCAGAAGAGGAGAAGCGAGTCTTTGCCAAATAGCGAGGCCCCGCCTCCAGGGCCAGCACCTGAGAACTCGCCGATCCCCGGCAGCACCTGCTTGTCCACCGCGGGTAGCGGGCCCCGGAGTCCAGCATCAGCTCCCCCTGCCGAGCCTTCTCCGGGTTCCAGTCCGAGTGGAAGAGCAGCACCACCGGTTGGACTTTCTGGCCGGGCCCTGGGCACGTCTTCTCCAAGTGGCCCCTGAACCCGGCGAACATGTCTAAGGGTCCCCACAGCGGGATCAGGATGTGGATCTTGGCCTCCCGGGGCTCCTGGGGCCTGGGGGTGGGGTGGGGGGGCAACATTGCCTCCGCCGCAGCTGCAGCGGGGCAGCAGCCGGAACGGGACCAGCCTCCAGAGCGAGCTGGGCAGGAAGGACAGCCGCCCGGCCACCTGGTTCCCCCGGCGGGCAGCGCCTGGTGCTGGGCGAACTGGCTCTTGCTGAGGGTCTGATGCAGGCAGGCGAGCCTCCGCCCTGTACCGCCACCTTCTTGCCCTTGGGCCGCTGGTGCAGCAACAGCTAATCAGGGATGCACTTGGCGGGGCCGAAGGTGGGGTTCCCGCGCCTATAGCCGCGCTGGACCTCCTGGAAGTGGAAGACGCTGCCGGGGGCCCGCGTCGGCCTTGATAACCCCATGACCGGCAGGACCAGGTCCTCCAGCGCCTCCCGCTGGGCCCGCCCATGCCCCGCCGCGGGGGGTGGCCCTCGGCGGTGGAGCACAGGTGCCTGCATCAGGAAGTCCCCCTCCAGGCCCTCCTCCCGCCGCTGGGGCTGGCAGCGGGGAAGGAGGGGGCGCGCCTGGCTGCGGGTCCTCCTCGCGGGCGCCCCCGCCGCCCCCGCCCCGCTTGGCGGCCCAGAAGCGCGATCTCTGGTGCAGCTGCAGCGGGCGGGGGCGAAGGGGGCGAGGCGGTCTCAGCACTTAGCTGTGCAGCTGGTCCTGGTGGGGCAGCTTATAAGGTTGAGAAAAAACAAAATGCAGCAATAAATGTAAGGTTGAGTAAAGCCAGAATGTAATATTTTATGACAAACATTAAAGCAGGGCTAGGTCCCGAGGGAGGGTTTCATCCTGTAGGTACAGCATCTGGTGATCCTCATCTTATGAAGAGCAACCTGACCACTGCGGAATGCACCTGCCAGGAACAGACCAGCCTAACCTGTAATTACCAGAAATGACCACCCTGAGATGCCTTAAAGGGGAAAGAGGACTTAAGCAAGGGAAAGGGGAGGGGGAGGCAAAGGGTGCTTGCTTGCATAGCTGGGCTAGAGTATAAAACTGAGAAAGAAACTTAGTGCAGGTCCGAGTTTGGAACGGGAGAGTGCCACTGCGTTGGTGCCCTGGCTGGGACCCTAACAGGAGTTAGCTTAATAAAGACTTTCTGCATTTGCATCGGGCTCGGCTCCCTGGTGGTCTGTGGGTTCCAGAACTGACCAGGCGCAGCAAGCTCTTGTTGGGGTGCAGCGCGATGGCGTGGTGGACCTTGCTGTCCTACAGGTCGCGGATGTAGCCCTTTTTGTTCTCCTAGAACAGCCGCTGCATCCCCTGGGCCAGACGCCCTGCAGCTCGCGAACCGCTGCAGGCAGCGGCCATCTCCCTGTCCTCCTGGGTCGTGTGCATCTCCCGCAGGCACCCGCCGATGTAGGGTGCCATGCGGCACAGCTCCTCGCGGCTCAGAATCACGCGGGGGAGGGGGGCATGCAGAAGTTCTCGCCGGGCTCTAGGGCCAGCTGGCCCATCCCCTCTGAGGCGCCCAGCCCGTCTGGCCCAGGGACAGGGGCTCTCTGCTGCTGAGCTGGGCGGGAAGCTCTCCATCCGGTCCCCCAGATGTCCACGTCGTCGTCCGCCCGCATGAACCGCACGTCCTGGTCCAGGCGGTGGCCGTGCATGCACTGGAGCATCATGAAGGCCTTCTTCTGTGGCGGGTAGGAGTCCTCCACGCCCCGCAGCGGCAGGACGGGGATCGGGAGGGACGTGTCGGAGCCCTCGCTGGAGAAGAACTCCACCTTTCAGGGGATCGGCTTGGACCACGTCCTGTAGACGGCCACGGCGCGGGTCTGCAGGAATTCCTGGGCCGTCATGACTCCCACGGAGAGAAAGTTCCGGTCGCGCGGCCCCCACCGGGAGCCGAGCCGTGGGGCCCGGGCTGCGCCCAGCGCTCAGCACTCCCCGCGCCGCCGGCCTGCGAACCTGCCGCCGCCGCCGCCTGCCCGGCCCGCAGCCCTGGGGACTAGCAAGGAGCCTCGGGCCCTCTCCCTTCAACTCAGAGGCGCGGGGCAGGAGGAGGCTCGAGGCCAGCACTAAGTCCAGCACCAGCCCAGCAGCACGCTGAGCCGCGGCCCCTGGAGGCCCAGTCCGCCCCGCTCTCCGCCCGCTGGCCCCGCGCGCTCCGCCCCTGACCATGGAGGCCAGCCCGTCCCAGAACCGCCAGGCCCCGCCCTGACAGCAGTGTAGCCACCGCCTGGGACTGGCCACGCCCATCGCGGCCCCTCCCCACCCTGCGGATTTGTTCTGTGGGTACCCCGCCTCCTGTTTATGGGTTGTCATGCTATGCCACGTTAGAAAAGAAACTGACATTTAAAATTATATATATATATATATTTTTTAAATAATTTGAAATAACATTTATCAAACCACCAAGAAATCCGAAGGGCAAATAATGTAAAAATCATTTTGACTTCACAGACTCACAGGGTTCTCAGAACCACACTTTGAAAAGCCTTGCAGTGAGGATACATTTTCTGATCATCAGCTGGCTGTGGGGATGGCACAGAGAAGGGAAGGGTCCAAGGGAGGGGCTGCCTGGACCCGCACACATCAGGCCTGGACCCTGTTGCTTCATGTCCTGAGCTCTGAGATCCAAGGGCGCTGCAGAGCAGCCATCCTGCTGGCCTCCCCAGGACATAGCTGGATGGGCCAAAGGGCTGCAAAGCTACATTTCCTTCTCCCCATACAGACTGCAGGAAGCTATAGCAGCAAGTCCACAACCTGGACTTCCATCCTTGTCCTGTTGAATGGTGTTTTTTCTCTACTGTCCATTCCCATAGAACCTAAAGTATCATCTTTAAGGCACATTGAGTTAAATTTGAGATTTTCAAAGTAGGGTCCTGGGACTAGCAGCAGCAGCAGCAGCTTATAATTTGCTAGTTCTGCCAGCTCTCCAGCCCCAGATGCACTGAATCAAGAGTCTCTGTGGTTGAGGCGCAGCCACCTGTGTTCTAACAAGACCTGCAGGGGATCCTGATGCACCTGCTAGGCGAGGTCAGTGTGGATGTTAATCTCTGAAAGGATCCCTTCTCTGAAGGGAAACTCAGCCCAGCTGGAAAGGGAGCCTCTTTCTTTCTCTGTCTCCACCCCTTCCTGAATCTGGATCATCTGGGGAGAGAAACAGAATCTCTTTTGAGTGCTGAGGGCCAACAGGATTAGACAATTAAAGTTCCTTGAGGAGAAGCATCAAACTGATAGGTTAACTCTCCAGGTTTAGGTTTACCAGTGAGCTTTATGTATGGCCTCATCCACCATAAACTCTGTTTCTGCATTAAGCTTTTGTTCACATTTATGATTATTTCAGATTACATCCATGGAAACACACATTATAAATCCAATTACTAAAACTGTAAAGCAAATATTTTAAAAACCAATTCACTGCAGTTATTAAAAATTAGAAAATCTTGAACTGATATCCAGTTTTCTATGACTCAGTGAACAACTAAAATTTTATGCAATGATATTTCTAGGTCTCAGGAATATATATATATATATATATATATATATATATATATATATATATATTCTCATTATATAAGTCACTTCCCAAATGTACAAGTATTTGATAAGGCCTGAGTCACATCGATCATTTTCCTACATTATGATGACGCTATGACTAAGTAGGACCTAACATAACATTGACAGGCTTTTCTCCTCTGCAAGATAAAGCTTAATAAAGAGGAAAAGGTCACTCACAACATATCTTAACTGGAGGACCCTGCCAGGTGGTCCCCCATTGGGGTGACACACACCTCAGAAGGGGCTGAGCCTGCCCATCAGTCCAGCGATGGGACGTGCTTTGAGTTCTGGCTGCAGAGGCTGAGGCATGTGCAGCTGCACCTGTTCATTCCTGTCAGGAGGAAGAGGCCATTAATCCTGCTGGTGGTATCACCATTCAGTTGAACATTCTTCATCAAAATCCTTTTGTTGCCAAAACCTGTTTGGCTCAGTGGATAGAGCTTCGGCCTGTGGACTGAAGGGTCCTAGGTTCAATTCCTGTCAAGGGCATGTACCTTGGTTGCAGGCACATGCCCAGTACGGGGTGTGCAGGAGGCAGCTGATTGATGTTCCTCTCTCATTGATGTTTCTAACTCTCTATCCCTCTCTCTTCCTCTTTGTAAAAAATCAATAACATATATTTTAAAAAATCATTTTGTTCACAATTGTGGCATTGAATTGGGAATTTAGCTTTTCTTCTTTGCCTGCTACCAGCCCCATTTCTTAGACAAATTTCCCATTTGTCTCTTTTACCAAATTCTGGGAAAACCTAGTTTTTGCATTTCAGTTCTTATTGATTGTGAAATATTAAACCAAAAATGACCATCTTCCAGAAAAGTTTGCATTGAGCCTGATAACACATATCCCCTCAGCCACAAAAAGGAAAATACTAACTTCTGGTTAAAAGGAACAGGAAGTCCTGTTCTACCTGGAAGATGCAACCCATCAATGTTTCTCTCTCGCATTGAAGTTATTTCTCTCTCCCTTCTCTCCCTTCTTCACACTCTCTGATCAATAATCATATTCTTGGATGAGGATTAAAATAAAAGAATTGTGGCCAAGATGTTCTTATACTAAATCATTACATTAAAATATAAAACCAGCCTGTGCTTCTATTCCCAATCAAGGTCACACATCTGGCTTGCAGGATTTATCCTTGACATGGTCCCATATGTAAGGGAGGCTACTAATCTATGTGTCACTCTAAGGTTGATGTTTCTCTCTCTCTCTCTCTCTTTCTCTCTCTCTCTCTCTCTCTCTCTCTCTCTCTCTTTTCTCTCTTTCTCCCTCTCCCCCTTTCTTGGTCTCTATCCCTCTCCACCCTACTCACTACTCAACCTAAAAATCTATTAAAATAATAACAAAATAATAAATAATAGAATTAAAATAATAATAATAAAATTATACCAAAAATAAAGCACTGTCTGCATAACAGAACATAGTTACAATATTTCCAAATTTTTGGACATACACTAAAATCACTTATTAGTAAAATAATCCCTTCTATCTGTTCGTAAGTTACAAATAAAAGTTCTGATGTCCATAAATGTAGCTATAAAGACAGTGTGTGTGGGTGAGTTTGTTGGGAAATTGATGCCTGGATGAGATTGTGTTAGTAGAGGTATATTTAGGGAGATTAGCAAAGGTGTTGCTAACCTTCCATTTACAAAAGAACAGCTCTTTGGAGAGCTCTCAAAAAACATCACCTGGAAATAAAATGGGTGTGGTCTTCAGGGACTCAATATAAGGAGCCAAACTCACTCTTTCCAGAACACAGGGAGTGTGCTTGGAGCTTACCTGGGAGCTTTCTGAGAGCTACTCTCACCGTGCTTGGAAGGCTTGATCCCTGAGAAGACTTCTTTCTATTAATACTTCTTGTGCAAGCAGTGGTGAGTTTAATGTATCAGCAAACTGAGGTTGTTTCTATAAAATCACATTGTTTGCTAACTTACAAAAAATGATTCCATTAATGTTTTGTTTGGTGTTTTCAAATTAATATGATGACTAATTTTAGTTCTCTCATTCTATTAATCCTTCGTAGTTCCTAGGAACTACTGTTCAGAAAATAGTGGTAAGATATCTTGTAGTTTTGTACATGGTTGTAGAGTCTAAAAACATCCAGGAGTATTTGATTCTATATGTAGTTACACATTACAACCTACTTAAAACATGATGACACAAGAGAGATGATATTCTATGTTTAATGAGAATAAGCACTCAATGATTTGAAAAAAATAGTTAAATATTTCAATATTTCACTTTGAAGTGAAATAAATGTTTCTTGAAAAAGAGTTTTCTGACTTAAAGTTAAAATTTAGGACTCCTCAGTGGTCTTCCCACATATCCCTTAACCCAGCTATATCATCTTTAGCAATCTTTCCAATAGAATTTCTCACAATCAAGAATATGCACTACAGATTCATTTTATAGTATTTTCAGTATCTCAATATATAAATAAATAGGAAATGAATGTTCTGAAATATTGTTGTCATTTAATGGTATATACTACATGTTATTCATCTTATTCAACTGACAATATTCTATATTTATTTGTTTAGTCTGTTATCTTGCATGATTTTAACTAAAGGGTTTTATTAATCATCTAAAGCATACATGCATAAAAAATCCACAGTACTGAATTATATGGAAGTCAAAACAAAACAAACAAACCTCATAGTTATCAATCAAGATCACAGCGAGTGACCTTAGAGGCTAAAATTTCAAGTTATTGCTAATGTAATCAGAAATATTTATTAACATTATCAAGGCATTGTTTTAGAAAAAAAATATATATATATATATACATACATACCCAGGGCATTTACTCTGGATTGTCTAACCTGGTAAACCAAGAATGGAACAAAAAGACCTGTTCTTATATTTCTTAAATTTAAGGTCATATCAACTTATGATAGCTTTTTGATGTGCCAACTTGGCTAGGCAGATCTAAAAGGACAAAAATGAGGCAGCAACCTTTTTTTTAATTTTTTTTTTTAAACACACCTCTTGCCTAGCTATTCAATCAAAGGCTTAACTACTTGATGCTGTGAGTAGACAGCAGGTGTAACTAAAGTTCCTTATTTCCATTGTGAGCTAAAGAAATTCTCAAGTTCTGACTTCATCAGTGAAAGTCCTTTAAGGAAAGGCATATCCTTGAACAACAATCCAAACAACAAAAGAGTGTGTATTGGTCCAGAAAAGCCTCACTGACAGTGACAAATGTCTCATGACCATTGGTTTTTAAGCTGCTGGTTGAATACCAGGTAGGGGGGTGTGGAGGAGCCAGGTAAGAGATGGTTCTCTCCCTCTCTGCCTTCCTCTCTTTCTGAAAATCAATAAAAAACATATTTTTTAAAAGAAAATATTATATAGCCCTCTCCAAATTTCCTGCCTTCATTTCATTTTCTTATAAAAAACATAGATATAGCATACCAAGAAAAAAATACCTTCAGCCCTTCATCATTATTTGAATGTTTTGTAGTTGCAAGTTTGCTTATTCACTAAAACTTATTTGTAATCCTAAAACTAATACTCATGATGTTTTCCTAGCCATTCTTGGGCTTGCACTGAGGAGAAATTTGAGTCATGTCAATTGAATGTTCCAAGCAGAGTTTGAATCAGGAGAAGCTCATATAGTAAGTGTCTTTTCCATGGTCTGTTATGCCAGGTTTTGGGCATTTTGATGCTGTTTGTTAATGACATCACTGTTTAAAAAGGCCCCCAGCCTTATGGAGATAATGTATCTGTTAGATAAATGACCTTAAGAAATGAGCTCTAGTGCTATTGGCTATGAATTCAATGATAATATATACACATTCTATAATAACTAAGATGTCTTTAAATAGAAAACAGATAAGTCAAGGTTAAGTTTTAACTGATAGATGGGCTTGCTATGACCGGAGGCTGGAAGGATACCAACTCTGAACTTCCACAGGGAATAATGCTTCAGTACTTCCAGTAAAGTGTTCATGCCACTTTATAGAACATTCATGGAATTTACTATGTATGTAATATTTGTCACTTTAAAAAGGAAGTAGTTTGTTTTTAGAATGCAACAAAGAATATACACTTATCTACACTAATAAAAGAGTACACGTGCAAATTGACTGCTACACCCACTCGCCAATCAGGAGCAAGTATGCAAATTATCCCAACAAAGATGGCTGTGGCCACAGAACTGGAGTGTGCAGGCTTGGGTTGCCCCAGGCAATGGAGGAAGCCAAGCTTCCCACCCGCCCTAGCTGGCCCTGCCCTCCACTCAAGGCTACAAAGTTTCAATTATAGGAGATAATTAAATTCCAAATACCTGCTTCCAGTTAGTCCTTGCCTCTGTTCAAGGAGGTGCTATAAAAAAACGGGGGAGGAGGGGTGTTGGGGCAGGGAGCCTGGATTGCCAGGGGGGATGGCCAACCTGAAAACAACCCTTAGCTCCTCAACCAGACTGGCCAAACTTTCATGGAGTGAGGGTTCCGATTGGGGGTTTGGCCAGCCTGCAAACATCCTTCATCCCTCACCCAGGCCCCAGGCTAGCCAGGCACCCCAGTGGGAACCTCCATCCTGACTGGTGGGTGGCCAGCTTGAAAACAGCCATCAGCCCATCACCCAGGCTGGCCACATCCCCATAGAATAAGAGTCCCTGCCAGGGCCGTGAACAGCCTGAAAACTGCCCTCAGTCCCTCACCAAGGCTGGCCAGGTAACCCAGCAGTACTTCCCACATTTAAGGAGGTGTGGCCCGCTTGAAAACAGCTCTCAGTCCTTTACCCAACCTGGCAACACTCCCCAGTGTGAACCCTCAACCCATGGAGGTGTGGCTGGCCTCCAAATTACCACAGGCCTCTCCCCCAGGTACCCACACACCAAGGGAACCTCTGCCCTGATCTGGGACACCCGTCAGGGAAAACCAGCTGGCCCCCACCCATGTACCAGGCTTCTATCTATACTAATAAAAAGTTAATATGCTAATTAGACTGGGAGACCTTCTGAATGTTCTTCTGGACAAAGCCATGGTGGTAGGGCCGAGGTAGAGGTGGTTAGAGGCCAAGAGGAGAGGGCAGTTGTGGGTGATCAAACCAGGATGGGAGGGCAGTCATGGGTGATCAGTCTGGTGGGGTACTGGGCTGATGGGGGCAAGCAGACCAACAGAGGAACAAGTTGTGGAGGAGAAGGCCATCATTGGAGGTCAGTTGGAGGTGATCAGGATAGCAAGAGGGGGTAGTTTGGTATGAAAAGGCAAGCAGGGGGTCATTTGGATGTGAGCTGAGGGAAGATAGGGAGAGCACACTGGCACAGAAGGCAGCTGAGGATCATCAGGTTGGCAAGAAGAGTGGTTAGGGGCAATCATGCAGGCAGGCAGTCAGGTGAGCTGTCAGGAGCCAGCAATCCTGGATTGCTAGAAGGATGTCCAACTGCCAGTTTAGGCCATATCCCTGCAAAGCAGCAGTAGGACATCCTTTGAGGGGTCCCAGATTGGAAATTCTGCACCCCCGACCCCATGCACAAATTTTCTGAATCAGGCCTCTAGTACACATAATAAAGGTAATAGATTCCCCAATAGAAAAATGACAATTTTATAAAGAGGTTATTTATAGAGAAGAAAAAACAAATAAGGAAAGGTGCTAACTCTAATTACCAATGAGTAGAAAGAAATTCAAATCAAAAGAATTAATTTTTTATGCATGAAATTGATAAAAAAAAAAAAAAACTTTTGTAAATTTGATAATAGTTCCCAAGTATTGGGTGATTCGTGATTTCTTTTAGGTGTTAGAAAGGGATTTTTAGGGAGTGTTCCCTAGTGGTCTACTCCAGGATATATCCTGTGATGTAGACAGATTGGACTGCAGGGGCGAGGGGACTTTTTTTCTGCCAAGGGCAATACAAAATTATCAAGTTAAAAATTATCCTGCTGTACTTGGTCAAACATTTAAATTACTCACCATATTGCTTTGGTAGGATCAGATGATGCTTTTGGGGCCTTATATGGACTTTAGGCAGGACTTTTCCCACCTGTGGATTAGAGGATTGCTTTAAGAAATGCCTGTCACACACAACAAATCAATAAACATTGTTATTTGAATTTTAGGTAACTGTGGAGCATCTGCCTACTATGACACCATTCATGTTTTAGATGCATGATTCAGAGAGTTGTTTTTAGAAACAAAGATGGGTGTTAATTTAATCAATGGACCAGATTATGATACCATTTATGTTCTAGATGCATGAGTCAGAGAGTTGTTTTTAGAAACTAAGATGGGTATGAATTTAATCAATGGGCCAAATGGAATTGTTATGAGATTATAAACTCCTGGGGTAATCTTGCTAAATACCTGAGAGTTATAATCTAAGGATGTGGGTGTGACTTAGTGGGCTGTCCAAGAGGTTAGAGCAATGGCCCGGGGATTGGGCGTCTCATGTTCTATTATGGTTGAAGAGCATACCTCAGTTGCAGAATGGCCCTAATTTGTGTCCATGCAGGAGGCAACCAATTAATGTGTCTCTTCTCACATCAATATATCTCTCTCTGTGTCTCTCCCGTCTCTTCTACTCTCTCTAAAAGTCAATGGAAAAAAATATCCTTGGGGGAGGATGAACAAAATAAAAGATGCTTCTAGAGGAGGAAAAAAAAAAAAAGAAAGAAAAGTCAGCTCAGTACTGTGAAAGTAAATTTGTAACTGCGAATAATTAAGTATATTTTAGTTTAAAATTAATATACTTTTTTGTATTAAAAAAACACAAGGAAAATATTTACTTAAAAATTTAGCCTATATTTTTATACCAGAAATATGGATTATAGAACATTATAGAAAATAATACTTATAGAACATTCACTTTACTGTTGTAGTGATAATATACATATATTTTAAAAATACATCAGTTCAGAGTTTATATAAACAGAAATTAATTTAATCCTCAAGAATTCAAAAAAATGAATTTCTTTCATAATTTCTTTTCTAATGAATCTCCATTGGTTCAATTTGTGTTTCTTTGTTTCCTTATTTGTTTGTTTTAAAGGAGAGAACTTGGTTTTCTTGATCTTCTCTCTGAAGTCATTTCATAGAACCATTCTGGCCATCTTCTCAGATTTATTGGCCAAAATGATTTGTGGGGTAAATCTCACACTTCTGTACTCACTAACTAGTTATTGAAAAAAAGAATGGGGACAATTATGATTGATTTTGAACAATTAAGAACAGTAATAAAATGCTATACAACATCCTAGAAATGGATACTTGCACTCATTTGTATTTGGATAAGGACTAGGAACTGAATGTGTAAGGTTAGGTGAGCCATCTAGTGAGAATCATGTCAGCGGTAAAGCTCAAGGACACTTTCTTGGCTCCAGTTTTCATCTGCGTGATAGCATAAATAGGTTGTCTTGCTTTCGTTAGTATTGCAAAGATAAAAATATATGGACATCACTACCTTCATATAACTGTTCAGAACCTCTCACCAACCAATGCCCAGAAATGACTGTGGCTAATTCTTTCCAGAAACATGGATCCCTGCAGCTTGCAAATCTTCCAGAAAGAACTCATCTGCTCCATCTGTAGGAACTGCTTCATAGACCCCATCACCACAGACTGTGGGCACAGCTTTTGCAGGCCCTGTTTCCACCTCAGCTGGCCGAACAGGTCAGTTATTCCTCGCTGCTCTGTATGCCAGAAAAGAATCCAGCAGAAAGACTTTCACACAAATGCCTTTCTCAAAAAAAAGGTTCTCATTGCCAGACAAGCCTATCTGGGGCATTTTCTACGTTCTAAGGAGAATGGGTGCAGGATACACATGGAAGCAAAGCAGATCTTCTGTGAGAACCAGAGGAGCCTGCTCTGTTTGCACTGCTCTACCTCCAAGGAGCATGAGGCTCACAGACACTGTTCAGTGGAAGAGGCAATTGAAGAACACAGGGTAAGTGATGCCCCTGAGGACCCACCTCTGAAAAGTGGTTACCAAATTCCTGTTTCCTTAGGGATGGCATTATTCCATTCAAATGTTCCTTTCAGAATCTCTGGAATTCCTTAGTGTGAGGTCTCCAGGTTTCACAAATATGTGATATAAACAAGCGAACTCTATGATTCCCTTGTTTTCAGTGATTATGATTTATCAGTCATTCTGGGGACCCTCCCGCTCTGAGGTCTAAATGTTCCATTCTCCTTTTCATTGGATCTAATTGACCCCTGTGCATCTTTTGCAGGAGAAACTCCTCAAGACAATGTGTTCTTTATGGGAGAAATGTTGTGAAAATGACAGAAACCTGAATGTGGAAACTGTCACAACCAGATCTTGGGAGGTTGGTATGTGCATTTCTTCAACCTGCAGCATGAATTTGGGGCGATTGGATAAATGACTTTAAAATAGGAACTTCCTCTGACAATATAGTGTTCTTTGGGATTCAATATGGGAAGTATGATCAACAGGAAAAGGGCATTTTCCCTACATAGATAGATAGTTGGGCTCTTAGTCACTTTCTAACAAAATGACAGCTTATACACAAAGCATGCTGATTTATTCCTAGATTTAACAATATTTACCACTTCTGCACAATATTTACCACACAACCACAACAGTCTGCCCTTTCACAGCATGCCATATGTGGAGGGAGGGGGTAAATTCTGGGCATAGGAAACATTTGACAGCCATTGAAAATTCAGGTGAAGCCTGTGAGGCAGTATAAACATTCATGTGAATGTTGTTTGCATAGTATTTGAAAACATATGGAATATTTCAGGTACAAAGAAATGTCCCTAATCCATAGAAACCCTGAATTTATACCAAGTAATTAATTTTGAATCTATATTTATAAAAGCCTAAGCAACCAAATGACCAAATGACTGAACAATTGGTCAACTGGTCACTAGGATGTGCACTGACTACCAGGGAGCAGGTGCTCAACACATGAGCTGCTCCCTAGTGTTCAGTGTGCTCCTACAGGCAACCCCTCCCAGCTGGCCAAACTCCTGAGGTCTCTCTCCCTGGTCGGGCTGCCAATCTCCCACAGTCCCTACCCCAACCTGGCCAACCCTCTGCAATTCCTTGCCCCAGCTGGGCAGCCCACTTAATCCACCCTAATGAGCAGGTGGTTGTCAACCTCCCACTGTTCCTCCCACCTGCCGACCAACTGCCCCATTGGCCCTGATCTCCAGACATGCCTACGGACCCAACCCATGAACAAATTAGTGCACTGGACCTCTAGCAATATATATAATTTCTTAGGAGAAATGTGATAAAGATGAGGGTTACATATAAAAATGCCAAATATGGGGCATGGTATCTAAATTGAAGGAGAATTTTGAACACTTTAGGGAAATTTATGAATAACTGATTTCTTCAATCTAAATGGTTATCTTGAAGATGTGATATCTAATATGAATTTACTCAACACATATTTCATGAGCACCTTGTGTATTATATATCAAATATTTAGTAAAAAAAAAAAAATGGAGCAGTAAGCAAAGTAGAAACTATCCTTGCCCTTATAAAGCTTATACTGTAAATCAAAGGGCAAATGGTCAACATGTATAGAGGTATAATATATGATGCCTGATAAGTTCTTTGTAGAATAATAAAGCAGTAAGGAGAAAGAGGAGTACAGGAGGGTAGGGACGGCAGATGAGTGTTTGAGTTCTAAATAGGATCGATCATCAGAGAAGACCTCACTGAAAATCTCACCTTATTAAAAAAAGATCTCTGAAAAGGAAGGTAACCTCAAGGGTATGTAGAGAGAGTATTCTAGATGGAGAAAATAGCACATGCAAAGGTATTGCAAGCAGGTATATTTAAGGCAGTTGAAAAGCCACAAAGTTCTGAGGGGCTATCAGTGAATTAGGAAGAGAATGAAAGGAAATAAAATCAAAGAAATAATGGTAGTCAGATTGTAAATGAAACCTCCTCAGGATAGGATTTAGCTGGATTAATTGCAAGGAGATGAGCAAATCAGTTTTAGGTCACAGCATGTAAAATGGGTTAAGTAATCTACTCCAAACTTTGGAAACTGAGTTAAATAATGGATCCTAATCCAATTATAATTTTAAACTGCATGTTTTATGAATAGAAATGTGTTGCCTTTTCACACTTACTAGGGGCCTGGTGCATGAAATTCGTGAACAAAGAGGGGTTCCCTCAGCCCAGCCTGCATACTTTTCAATCAGGGATTCCTTGGGGGATGTCAGACTGCTGGTTTAGGCACAGTCCACAGGGATCGGGCCTAAACTGACAGTCATCCCTCTCACAGTGTGGGACTGCTGGCTGTCTCCCTGATTGCCCCTAATCCCTCTGCCTGCCTGCCTGATCATCCCTAATTTCTTTGCCTTCTTGCCTGCCTGATTGCCCCTAACTGCCCTCCCTTGTAGGCCTGATCTCATCCCCAACTGCACTCCTCTGCTGGCCAATTTGGTTCTGATTGGTTGGTTTCTATGCCAGTCAATATCTCTGTGCTTATCAATGGGGCCTGATCAGAAAGGAGGGGCTGATCAGCAGCCCTGATGGAGGCCTGGAGAGAAATGGAGGCCCAAATGCTGGCCTGGCCTTGAGAGAAAGGCGCAAGTGCTCACTAACAGCTGACACAAAGGCTATGGATCAGACAGACCCTGCTTCTCTTTTCAAAGCTCTATCTGGGCCTGATTCACAGCCTTCTCAGCAGTCAGTGGAGGTTGCCATGCTACCCAGTGCTGACTGTAGGACTGACATCTGGTTGCTTGAGCCTCTAGTCATGATGGACCAGGGTTTTTACATATTAGGATTGGCTAGAAGATAAAAACCACACATTTGTTTTTCTTTGTGGTTATCTCATCAAAGGCTTCATTATGAATGAATTGGATATAATTGGCTGTTTAAAATATATGGAAAAAAATATATATGGAAAAGAAGAATGAGAAAATGTGGGTTTTGAGACTAGGCAAGACTGAGGGTTAATGGTTAAATATAATTGATTTTTATGAGGCAAAGAAATACTAATGAGATACAGTAGGAGATGAAAGGGTTCATGTTTTGACTAATCCATGTCGTTGCAGGTGTATGTGAATTCAAAAAGCGAAGCGATCAGAACTGAATATGGTAATTTGTCTCTCTTGCTGGGTCCAGAAAAGGATAATCATTTAGAGAGACTGAAAAGAGAAGGCAAGGAGATTTTTGAACAGCTCAAGGCCAGTGAAGCCAGCATGGCACACAAGAGGGAGCTTTTAAGAGGAATGTATACAGAGCTGAAGGAAATGTGCCATAAACCAGATGTAGAGCTGCTCCTGGTAAGAACTCAGAAATGGGGTGTTGAACTTTCACGTGCACTGGCATTTCTTCATCAGAAATTCATCACCTCTTTTATGGCATTTGTTTCAAATAACCTATTTCCATAGCCTCAATTACTTTGTTGGGAGGATATTGCTCCTCCACGGAATTCCACAAACCAAAGATCCTTCCTACATTATCCATACAAAACAAAACTCTGTGGGACTGTAAAGGAATCCTGAGTTAGGTTCCCCCTTTAAAAGTCAATGATATATTTTGGCTTCATGAAAGAGCACAAAATGGTATGTACTGGTATTGAGGCTAATTATAGACATGGCAATATGGGGTTATTTGGGGATCTACACTTGTGTTGCTGTCATTTTTGGGTGTAACCACATTGGAAATAGACAAGATGCTGGATACTTAATCATTGTTACAGCAGTTTAGAGACTCCCCAGTTCTCTTTCCCCTTTGCTGGCCCATGGAAAGTCTCCAGGAATCAGTCTCCAGCAGGACGTGAGTTTATGATTATATGGTAAACAAGAGGGAGGAAATAGAAATGTTTCCCAGGAAGAAACAGAGTACAGAAATAATAACTTCTGGAACTACCTCAAAATTGCCCATCAGGATGCTGGAGGGATTGAGCAAAAAATAAATAAGCAAAAGAGCAAAAAATAAAACAAGAGAAAATACTAAATGAAAACAATAAAATAATGTCCCTCTTGACCTAGCAGAAGAGTCATTGGTAAAAAGCACTAAGCCTTTCTATTTTTCTTCACAGGATTTTGGAGACATATTGCATAGGTGAGTCTGTACCTTGATACCAGCTGATGCTCTTTCAGAGTTTTCACAGACATCAGGCAGGATATGCTAAAGTAAAGGCAGAACTTACTGGGATCTTGATTAAATTTTTCCCCTGTATCTATTTTCCCCTCCTCATCTCCATGTAGATGTCTCTTTTCATGGCCATGTTGACTGATTTCATTCATCAGTTTCAATGGATAAATTGCAAACAAAAAACAAACACACACACACACACACACACACACACACACACACACAAAACACACACACACAAAAAAAACACTAAAGAAAACCCCTTAATTCCCAACTTCCTGTTTAGTTTTCAAAATTCTATATATATGATGGAGAACATGCCAAGTATCGAAGCATCCATCTTACATAAAACTGCTGTTTGAATTTTTAACCCTGCTATTTTGTCTTCTGTAATTGCTTGCTTGCTTAAATAATTAGGAAAATAAGACTACTCCCATTCCAGAGAGGCAATAAGCTATGCCCCAGACAGAGTTGTCAGTGCTGGCACAGGCCAGTCCTTGAGATATGGTCTCATGGCCTCTTCCCAGCACGCAGGCCTTCTTTCTCAGGACGCCCAGAAGTCTCATTCCAAATTTGGGAGACAAAATACTGGAAAAAGTATAAATAGAGCAAGTTTCCTCCATTTGAGTGGGCCCAGAATTTGAAAGACACATTTTTCTCTGGGCCTGCCCATAATTATAATAAAATGTGACTCCCATTTCTCTAAGCATTGCTTGGTTTTTCTCCAGTCTTCTATAATATTAGGAGAATGATGTAATACCTCTAGAACCACTTACCTCTAGGAAGCAGATTGCCCTGCCTTGGAAAAGTTTCACAGCATCTACAGTGAGAGTGTGCAATAGGTCTATTAGTCTTCAGAGAACCCCATCATTTCCAGAGGGGGAGCTTTTCAGTGGAATCCAGAATTTCCCTCTTGAATATCCTCAAAGACATATGAGACTGAGGATCTTTACAAATTCCTGGACAAGATGCGGAAGGGTTAGACTGAATTCTGGTTCAAATGGACTTTCCATTAGACTTGAAAATTAAGGAAAAATGAAGGAGAAATATTTGGCAAAGTGATACTTTTGGATTTTCAAATTAATGGGTTCAAATAATTCTATTGAAGTATCTTATACATAAAAAAAAATAGTGTTTTTGTTTGTTGATTGTAAACACAGTAACTTCCTCTTCTTGCAGGTGTGAGGCAGTGTGTGAGCACATGCCCCAGCCTGTGAAAGCAGAGCTCACTGAAGGGACCATGACTGAACTGATTAAATGGTTCTATAGCTTCAAAGGTAAATGCTGGCCCATGGGCCATATTTCCATTATCTGTCATATGTTGTTAGGGCCATGCATGTAATCTGCCCTCTTATCAAGTGTGTTACGATTTTCAGACATAAGTGGTTCATTTGACTATATAACCCTTTGTAAGGAACATATCTTTACAGTCACATTTATAATACTAAGATTGGAAAATAGTAAGAAACAAAAATATGATTCAGGCTCATAAATAGTGAATTTCCTATAGGTGAAGAAATGATGTCAAAAATGAGTAGTTTAATAAGTGTAACAATGTTCAGATTTAATGTTAATTATCCAATTTATATACAAAACTGTACATTTATTCAGTATATATAATTTTCAAATGTTAATAGCAACTTTTTGTGTGATATATAATATACTGGATCTTATTAATTTTCTTGTATTTTTACAATGATCATATAATTTAAAATTTTGAATTAATATATAAGGGTTAATAGAAGAAATATTTTTATAAACAATAAAGTAAAAGCATACCAAAATTCAGTTTATTTGTAATCTGAAGAGGTACATGTTAAATGTCAAAATGCTGACAGCCCAGAGCCAGGACAGAGAGACTGGTGAGGGGTTTTGCAAACACCATTTTAAGAAACTATTAAAATGGACATAAATTGGATTTTCATTAGTTTAACTAGAGAAATGCTTGACTCCTGGCAAATATTCATTTTTCTTCCAAAATCATGATGTGATTATTTAGAAGAAATGTTCTTCTGATCCTAATTTTTTACAATGGAAAACAATTCAGAGAATATTATTCATTGTCCATTTTACTATGAAAAGTGAATTTGGAGACATGAGTCATTTTTTTTTCTTAATCCTCACCCAAGGAGACATACACAAATTTTTATTATTGATTGAAGAGTCAGGGAGAGGAAGAATGAAATGGAAACATCGATGATGAGAATCATTGATCAGCTGCCTCCTGCATGTCCCCTTCTGGGGTTCAAGCCTGCAACCCAAGTGGCCTGACTAGCAAAAGAACCTTGACTTCCTGGTTCATATGTCTACACTCAAACACTGAGCCACAAGAGCTGAGCTAAGGATAGTTTTTTACATTCATTTTTAGAGATAGTGGGAGGGAAGGAGGCAAGAAAGAATGAGAGAGAGAGACACCATGTAGCCAGAGAGATGCAGGTGAAGGGGATGGAACCTGCAACCCAGGATGTGCCTGGACTGGAATCAAACCCATTACCCTAAGTTGGTGAGCCAACACTTTGACCACTGAGTCACACCGGCCAGGGTGAGATGAGTCTTATATTTGACCCTAAACATTTTAATTTCAAAAATTATCCAAATGTCTGTTAGGGATTTGGTTGTTCTGCACTTATATTGGTCACCTCTGTCCTTTATTACATGTGACAACCAACATTGCTCATGTTGCTGTGACCTCATAATAAAATAACATCTTGAAAGATCAAGATTTCCATCAGGACTCCTATTTTCAATGCATCCACATGATTTACTTTTTTTTTTTTTTTTGCAGAGAATACCAGTATGTATTATGGATGTTGTCGCGGCCATGCCTTCCTACAGGGAGAATTGATAAGCCTGTATGTTGGATGTTGTCTTAAAAGAGTACCACATTCCACTCCACAATCTGAATGTTTTCTTTACTGGGAGGCTAAGACTTTTCCCTCCAGGAAACGTTACTGGGAGATAGACGTGGGAGACAGTTGGGACTGGGCTTTAGGAATCTCTTGTGATGATTGGGTACAGGAGAATATACATCTCCATAAGGCATTCTATCTTCTTGGCTGTGCTAAAACGGACATGCACCACAATGTCTTCAGCACTTTCCCACCTTTACTGCAATATGTGCCCAAACCCACTGGTCCAGTAGGGGTATTCCTGGATTATGAAGGTAGAAGTGTGACCTTTGTAAATGTCGCACAAAGTTCCCTAATATGTAGAATCTCCTCTTGCTATTTCTCTCCCCATCTCAGGTTTATCTATTGCTGTAGTCACTTCTGACTGGAAATAGACTGGGAATCTTTCTATTAATAGATGATAAGGACCTCCAATATCTAAGGTAGCTCCTAGAGCACTATCAATAAAGGCAAATATGTTGCACTTTTTTGTTTTAAATTTCCTTTTATCTCCTGAATATCTACTTATTGTATTATTAAATACTAGAGGCCCAGAGCATGAAATTCATGCACTGGGGAAGGAGGACCTACTCTCAGCCCAACCTATACCTTCTCCAATCTGAGACATCCCTCTCACAATCCAGGACTGCTGGCTCCCAACTGCTTACCTGCCTGCCAGCCTTTTCACCCCCTAAACACTCCCCTGCTAACATGAACAATGATTAACTGCTCCCCTGTCAGCCAGATTTCTTCCAACTGCCCTCCCTTGCTGGCCCAATTGCCTCCATCTGCCCTCCCTTGCTGGCCTGACTGCTGGCCAAACTACCCTCCTCTGCTGGCCCAGTTATCCCCATCTGCCCTCCTCTGCCACTCTGGTTCTCGCAAATGCCCTTCCTTGCTTGCCTGGTCATCCCCAACTGCCCTTCCCTGCAGGCCTGGTTGCCTCTAACTGCCCTGCCATGCTGACCTGATCATCCACAACTACCTTTCCCTGCCACCCATCTTGTGGTGACTATCTTTGACCAAATGGGGATGGCCAACTTGTGGGAGGACATGAGGGTCAGTTTATTACCTCTTTATTATATTGGATAATAACCTTCAAAACATATATATTGGTTTGTGCTTTACTCAGGTTAGCAAAATCATCACCTATGGTGCATGGCATAGAATAAGTTTTCTCTTTTTTGCTTTATTTGTGAACTATAATGAGAAAATATAATTAGAGATGACAGGGAGGGATGTGTGCAATCTTAAAATCAATGCAAGAGAGCAGGCATCATTCATTCTCTTTCCAAACAGACATGGTTGTAGAGACACAATGGCAAAAATTTAAAACACACACACACACACACACACACACACACATTAATGGCAATTTAGAAATAAATTTCTAATTTAGCTTCAGCTAACTATATTCTACATGTTCTTAATTTAATAATCCATAGTTTGAAGTGACATTACTTAATACCCTGTGCTGTGCATTCCTTTGTAATTCTCACCACAGTGATATACACTTCAGTGTTATCCATATTCTCTACTAGATGAAAATTCACAGGATGTTCAGACCAGTACTCTCTTCATCTTCCTTGGTATATCTGTTTAGAGCTACATTTACTCATACATTATACTGTCTATATGTTAAGTACCTAATGCTATATCATCATCTTCATGTCTCAATATCACTCCCTAGCTTTTGCTCTATTAGTCTAGCTGTAAAGCCCTGTGTCATTTCCCTATACCATTCATACAATTCACTCTCTCTATAGCTGTAATTATCCTGTTGATTAAAAACTTCAACAAATATTTACTCTTAATTATTGTATTTTTAAAATTTACATAAACTGAGACTGGTTTGGCTCAGTGGATAGAGCGTCGGTCTGTGGAATGAAAGGTCCCAGGTTCGATTCCGGTCAAGGGCATGCACATTGGTTGCGGGCACATCCTCAGCAGGGAACATGCAGGAGGCAGCTGGTCGATGTTTCTCTCTCATCGATGTTTCTAGTTCTCTATCCCTCTTCCCTTCCTCTCTGTATAAAGTCAATAAAATATATTTTAAAAATAAATAAATAAAATTTACAT